TAAGCTAAATGTCAGAGCTGTGTTTGTACCTGGCGGCGTCCTCCTCCAGCAGCAGTTTGACAAACTGTCTGGGAATGTTCAGCGACAGGACGCTCTCGGCCATCTGCTCCAGCACCCGGAGGTGGTTGGCGTCGGTGGTGGGGAAGCGGTACATCCTGGACATGGTGCCGCCGAACACTGGAGAAAATTCAGTTAGCTCGGATCAGATCGGAGTTTTTAGCATCATTTTTCGTCCTCCTCTGACGGCGTAAACATTGTTGTTCCTTCACAAACAGTTATTTCTGGATCGCTAGTTTCCCCTCTGAGGGAAACAGAAACCGTCCACTCAGCGGTGACAATCAATACGTCTTTTATTAGAAAACGTGGAAACGTGTGAGCGAGAGAAATGGAAAGAGGTAAAGTGTAGAAGGTTTTACTCAAAGTTGCATCCATGAGTTACAAAGTATGAGTGCATTTCTTTGACTAAAAGTGATTTGTTCTTATGACAAACGCTGCTGTTTTGCTTTTGTTTCCTGCATCCTGACCTGATTACCTGGTTTCACGAAGGCATTTCATCCACATGAACTAGTTCTTATATGCTGCTGTGCTCTACTTGTCCTATATTACAGATTCTGAATCAATGTCATGATGAGAAATAACAGTGAAAGGTTCAGGATTTTATCTTTAATAGTTCCTGAGATGTTGTCGTTTAAACAGCCTCAAATTTCAACATGTGAAAAAAAAAACCTGCTGAAAGTGGCTCGACTTGGCAAGTTCAAAATTTCACAGATATCTTAATAAATATGCATATTTTATGCTCTAAACATTTCCAGCAAATCTGAGATTGTGCAGCAGATTTTGTTCAAATAAAGTGATGATTTGACACCTCCTACTAGTTTGAATCGGGTGTGTTTCCCACCTGAGCGCAGCAGCGTGTCTTTGCATAGCGACGCGTACTTGATCCGGACTCCCATCGACTCGGTCAGACTCTCGTCGACCGGCAGCACCGTCTGCAGGACAGACATGATCCAGAGAGTCAGATAAACAACTAGAATAAAGATCCATAATTCCTCTGAAGCCGACATTTTTAAGTTTGTGGCCTCGAAGGTGCAGCATACGTTTCTCTATAATGGAGTCTGAACCGGAGCGAGTCTTCTTACCCGTCCGTTGATGCTGTCCGGCAGTCGTCCCACCGACATCCTCTGATCGGCTCTGTCCTCCATCTGCCAGGCGGCGATGGTGATGTTTCCCACCCGCTGGTTCTCTGCTGATCTGTGCAACCAAACAAATCACTGTGTTAAAACTGAAAGTACCCATCCAGTTACAAGTCACACAACTGTCTGTCATTTAACACATGCCTTTTGCTTCACTTCTGCTGTGAGAGAGTCATATCTGTAACTTCACGGTTTCTTTGCCCTGAGTTTAGGCTCACAGGCTCCTCCAAGCCATCATGAAAGTTTTTACTCAGCGACTTTAATTTGTTCACATATCAGACAATGTCCCTCAAAGACTCTTTGGGATAGCGCCACCTGATGGCTTGCAGGAGGCATAACTAGGTACAAAGCAGCAGAGTGGTACGCAGCCAGAATCAACGAGCCTGTGAGCCTGAGCTCAGGGCAAAGAAACCCTGACATTACAGATACCAATCTCTCACAGCAGAAGTGAAGCAAAAGTCATGTGTACAAAAATAAAAACAGACAGTTGTGAGGCTTGACTTGTAAACTGGTGATTTGTCTGTATTTCCAGCACTTGTGGCCAAAAACTGAGAGTTTTCATCAATTCATATCTTTGTACACGTTGACAAATCTCACTACAGACACACAGATTGAGACACAGACACACATTTACAGACAGTTTTGCTGTGTCCTCACACATAATCAGTAAAACCTGTTGTTTAAAAAGCTAGAACCAGAAAACGGTTGNCTCTGATAAATGGGATAAATTTGTCCATTTTTATGCATAAAACATGACTTTTAAGTTCTGGAACCCTGTGTGGACACTAACCTCTGTAGTCGTTGAGGTCGGACAGCGTTTCCTGGTAGGCGAGTATTATGGTCTGGTACTGAGAGACGATCTGTCGCCGCAGGTTCTCCCAGCAGGGCGATAACTCCCCCAGCTCCTCCAGCTCGCAAACCCTGGAGCCAGAAAAAAGGAAAAATGGGATTTAGGTGGGAAATAAGAGCCTGAATTACTGTGAAACGTCTACACTTGACTGCAGATAATTTCACATTATTAACAATTAGTAAAAAGAAGCTGAACATTTTGTGATTTTGAAAACACAACATGTTGTAGGAACATTCGTTGCTGGAACACTAAAATGTTTGATGCCTCTTTAGTCACATGGTTGTTTTAAGTTGCTGTTTTTATAACTTTATAATGACCTTTTCCTCCAGGTCTCCCTTGAAAAAGAGATTAAAATCCTGATTAAATAAAAGTTAAATAGACGAAACGAAACACAGGAGTATCTGCAAATATTTTCAGACGTTCTCAGCTCGGACAAGATGGCGTTAAATGATAATAAATCCAGTTTCACTTCGAGTTTACGAGGCTTTGTAGAGCGGATATCAATCTTGTAAAGTACTACATCTCGTGTTTCATGACCACTTTAAGGAAAACTAACTTTAACATTGAATAGAATTATTTTATTGTCATTGTACCAACAAACAAAACAACAGACACTTTAAAAGCACAAATAGAAAACAGAAAAATTAGACGTAAAAGTGCATCTATGAAAACTTTTAAAGAGCGTGTATTTGGTGTATTAAGAGCTAAATCACTATATAACATAAACAAGGAGTAATGACTTAAAGTAGCACAATAATTACACAATAGCTGCAGCTGTATGTGAACATGTGTGGGTTCAGTAAATAAACACAAGGGGCAAAGGTGGAGATATTTCCAGATTCTGTAAATAAAACAGTGAATATCCAGTTTAATTCTACTTCATTCAGAGTCCATCCATCCATTATCTATACACCGCTTAATCCTCATTAGGGTCATGGGGGGCTGGAGTCTATCCCAGCTGATTCAGGGTGAAGGCAGGTTCACCTGGACAGGTAACCAGTCTATCACAGGGCTACACTTAGAGACAGACAACCAAGCACACTCACATTCACA